TTCCTCACGCACCCTCCCTCTGTCACATTAGTCATGAAGACTTCAGTGGGAATATTTATGGTGGAAACTGCTACTGAATGTGAGTAATAGTATAGGTTTGGCCTTTGTGAAAGAGCATTAAATCACAACACATTGAGAAGGGGCAAGAGTCCTCAGGCTTATTTCAAGCGCTATTTTTAGATATGGATAGTCAGACTTTTCTTATCAAATAATTAGTCATCACAAATAAAGGCAAGATAACTTTTGAGAATAAAACAGGAAGTCATTGAAACATTTTCTGAGCTTCCAAGAAGATCATTGAAGCCTCTGCACCTGACTATTAATTTAGTAATAGGAAAGGGGAAAGCACAAAAGAAATCTGAACCAATTTTAATCCCTGACTGATCTGAAGGCCAAAGAACTGCAGATAAAGACATTTACCTGGATTTCTGTATCATCCCCATATTGCAGAGGTGCAGTGGGACTATAAAATTAATAAAGGTGTTTTACAGCAGAGAGGCTCCATATTCAAGGGAAATGATGTTCTGAGTATAAGCCAACAAAATAATGCTGTCACAAAAAATGCCAAAAGCCATGTAAATTTGTGGTAAGGGGATTGTCAGTTGTAAAATAGTCAAGATAATTATGCTGCTGTCCTTGGCACTGGCTATGTTTCATCTGGATGGCTGCATTTCATTTCAGGCACACAGATAAACTGGCAGAGTTCAAAGGAGAATAACAAAAAAAAAAGATGAAAAGGTTTGGAAAAGGATACCTATGAGATAAGGTTAGGGAAACTGGGTATAGCTGGTATGGAACAAATGAATCTAAATGGCAGGAGGGAGGATTTAGGTTAAATACAAACCAACCTTTGTAGCTTTAAGAAAAATTCAGCCATGGAACAAGCTGCCAAGGAAGGTTTTAGCCTCCCCATCACTGGAGATACTAAGAGGCAGGAGACCATCTGTTACGGAGAGTGTAGGGATTAAAAAAAAAAAAAAAAAGAGAGAGAAAAAAAAATCACTGCCACAATTTAAGAGTTGAGCTAAATAACCCATTTGTGACTAGACTTTAATGGACTAAAGTGCTATGGCTCCTCTTTTCAGGGTAAGTTCCTAGATCTTTTCATTTTGAAAATTATCTTGATCATATAAACGAACCCAAGTCAAGTCTGCTGACTTCAGAATGGGAAGGTTATCTGCATTTGAATATTTACAGGAGATAGATGTCTAAATATTAATTTAATCCTATCAATAATACCTTCTCCTTTCCATCAGGTTTTGAACATATGTATAGAGCTGGTCTTGAAAAAAGAATATTTCATTTAGGTTAAACCATAATTTAAATCTGAAGTTTCTTGTATCTCTTAGTATTGCAAGTAAACAGTGGGCCAGCCCAGGCCTGTCTAGTGACCTGGGGCTTGTGATAACCACATTCAACAAGATTTCAGATCAGGTCAAAATTGTGGTGAGTGATAAATGCTCAGTAATGGATATAAAGGTGTTTCTGGATTGCCATACTGTTATGGCACTGAGATGACGCTGGGGCGTGAGCACCTCTTGCAGCCTCACAGCAAACTGATGACTGTCAGGAGACACCTTAGGAAGATTTTTTTTTGCCACAAGGCATCTGTCAGCTTGTGAGTCTTAAGGAAACATTAAGCAACCTAGCCCAGACGGCCTTCAATGGTGATTCCGCTGAACCGCTGAGACTTTATTTTGGAAGTTTCCACAGTCAGCTGCCAGGTCTAAAATGGGAGCTGGCAGGTAATTACTGGGGGACAGCAGGGGGCACCTCAGACACCTCTCAGCTGCAGAGCCTCTGGTGATGCTTCCATGAGAGCACCACCACAGCCATGTCCTAAATGCAGGCCATTATACCGCCTGGATGCCTATCACATGCTCTCTCCTCCACACCCCCATCAAGCTTTGGTTTTCATGAAGAAGAAACTGTGACATGCTCCAGATGGTCTTCTGAGGCAGAGGAGCAGGGTCCGTGGCTGTTGGCAAGGCTCGCTGTCTTGCATGGGAATGCCCCCACTCTGCTGCATGGTTCCTGGGGATTCAGTGGTCTTTGGACCGGCATTTGGGGAGTGCCGGGCGGCAGGTAGGATTCACTAGGCTGCAGACTCACCTCCCGTGCTCCTTTGAGGTGTGAGCCCGAAACAGAGCAGACACGAGGAGTCAATTACCTGAGCTGAGCCGAAGAGAAATCACCTTCAGATGGCTCAGTGAGTTCTGGCAGCGCTTTCCCTTTTCTCCTTTCCTAGCTGTGCTCCTCTTTTGCCCAGAGAATTCCCTTCCACCCGTCCACCTCCATTGCATACTGCGGCAGATGCTTTCACTGACAGATTTTGGCCGCTGTGCCCGGCCGACATACTTTGGAGCGATTTCAAGCAAGCTGAGGTGCTGTGCCAGGGCTAGAGCAGATAACAGAGCCGCTGCTGACACCCGTTTGGGCATGTTCTGCCACCAGGAATCCAGCAGGGACTCTGCTGCACCTGCCCTGGACCTGCCTGGGGCATCCTGTCCATTTCTTGGGCTCAACAGCACAGCATTGAGCTGTATTGTGTTGCAGCTCGGGTGACTGAGAGCAAATAAGCCAGAGGAGGGAAATGTCACTTATTTCCATGGGGCCTATGACATTCATACAATATTTGTATAACTAGAAGCTATCTCCGTCCCTCTCTCCTCCCTGGGAGGGACACCAGGATGTGCAGAGGGACAGACCCCTAATGTGGCCAGGGAGACTGAAGGGCACAGTGGGGCCGGCAGCTCCCTGGCGCCAGGACATGGGAGCTCCAGCCAGAAGCAGGGCAGCCAGGGAGCACCAGGGCAGCTCCAGCCCCAGGGATCAGACACCTCCCTTGGGATGGGCCAAGGCCTGGGCATGTGCCCAGGGGTGGGCCCGGCTTGGTGGGGCCATGGATGGGCAGGGCAGGGCTGTGGGGAGCTGGAGACTGGTCTTGCTGCGGCATCGCTGGGGCAGGGGCTGATGGGCCTGGGGAGCTGATGTGTGGACTCTAGGTAGGGTGGGGGAGCTCCAGGGGGCTGACATGGGCAGGGTGGGGTGGGGTGGTCAGGGCTGTCGATGCCCTCACGGCCCTGACGCGACCTTCGTCTCCTCATGGGTCTCAGGGAGCCTTCTGCAAAACTAAGGAGCAAAGGATGGGATTTTTCATGTAGAAAGCACCAACATAAGAATTTGTCACCTCACTTTTCATCATCCATCTTTTCAGGTGATTTTTAAGAATGTTACACAACATAGATGCTGCTGGTGTTCCACTGGCAACACCCTGCTCCTATGAGAACTAGACATGCCTTCCCACCCTTTTGACTTCTGTCCCTTAACCAGTTGTTTTTCTGCAAGACGACCTGGCCATTTGTTCCCAGACTGCTTAACTTCTCTAAGACGCATTCATAAGAGTCCTGTCAAAACTTGAAAATCCAGGTGCACCTGGGTTATTATTACCCACCAGTTTACTCTATCAGTGACTGCCAGCAGATTTGTGAATCCCAGCTGCTGTCAGGCTGGTGTTGATGTATCACAGTTGTATTACGTCGTATCATAGTTTCTCTCGAGCTACCTAATGAAGACAGTCTTTGCAAATGTCTGAATACTCATAGAGCCCTTCCTAAAATCTGTTATTAATTTGTCACCGCCTATGGCCCTGGAATTGTGGCCAGCTCAAGCAATGGGTTAAACAAGGCAGCTGCTGTGTGTCTGAGCTCCCCTACAAGATGCGGGTGAACCTCCTCCAGTCCTAGCGATCTGTTGTTACTAATTTTGTCTCTTCTACTGACATTCCAGTTTGACGATGAATTCCTCAGGTTGATGTATTACAAACAAGACCTCTGTTGTGGGAGCCTCTGCTCTGAGCGTTAATGCAAGATTCATTTCTACTTTCTGCAAGACCTCTGCTTCCCCACAATTTCCCAGTAAGGTACCAGTCTGAGGAGTGTTTGAAAAGTTTCATTTCTAACTCTGTACCTTCAGTGAGCCACAGGGTGGCTTTGGATTGTCTGTGTTTAACTTGACAGACCACATCCTTTGCAATTTTCCTCATTTGGGTGTTCTTGTGCTTTCTGATGGTGTTTCCTTACTTGTAATAGTCTCCTTTGCTGTTTACTTTAATGGGTTATTTTACAGTCCAGTCATCGATGTGAACAAAGTATTTCTAAGTCTCAGGCAATTGTTTTGATCATTCAACTGTAGGTTATTCTCTTTTGGGACAATCTGACAGTAATTTGGAGCAAAAGCAGTGTAGAGATGTCTGTGAAGGGTGTGGGTGTATGTGGTGGGAGTGATAACCCTGTTTCCTGCAAAATCCACTGCTCTGAGTAATTTTCATGTTACCTACAAGAACTTTTGGTTTATGAGCCCAGATATCCACCTAATTTAAATTTTGCTTTCGATGACTTGGTTACTTCTAGCTAGGTAGTGCCAGTTAACCACAGAGCTCAGTGAGTGTCTGGAAGTTGAAAGACCTATATAATACAGAGAATGTGTCTTCTTTCACCCATCTTAGTGAAGTTTCTGGTTGAATCAAACTCCTTTGCTCACCTCAGCAATATCCAGACAGGTCTTTGAAAAGCATGAGTTACTGGTAAGAAAGGAAATTAAAAACTGCCACCTTGGATATGAACAATGGATCAATGAAAAGCAGGACTCAGGAGCAAGAAAGCTCTCCTCTCCTGGGAACATGAGCTGAATCTGTGATGCAAACACATTTTCATAAAAAGGAAATTGTCTGACAGAGGCAGCCACAATTAATCCAAATTTCATGCCAGTTCACTATTTCCTCATTAAGTTTCACCGTATATTAAGACTGTATTTGTAAGATGCACTCTGAACTTCACATTAAAGAATAGCCCTGCTGCTGAAAGAGCCATAATTCATTTACTAACAGCCCTTGTTGCTGTGCTTCAGTAATGTAATAATTTTCTCTGTGTCCCAACCATATGATTATTCCTGTTGTGTAGGAAATTTAAGTCCAAGGAATGTCAGATCAAATATAAAAGCCTAGTGCTTACCCACAGCTTTTATTCAATTAAGTAGCCATTACAGAGCTCACACTATTTCAAATGACATAATGCAGAACACAGATGCAGTCCTTTATTACAGATATATGTTCATCTAAACAAAATGACACCAACACAATCCAAACCCATTACAACTTTTAAATTATTATGCTAAGGTGATTATTATATGGTGAGCAGTCTCTGTGAAAGTCAAGTGGGGAATCCGTGGCCTCCACAAACCACACGTTGAACACAGCAGCAGGGGTATTTGAGGTTTATTTGTGCAGTTCCTAAAAGAGGAGAAACAGTGCTGCTAAAATGTTCTCCTACAGTGAAAGCTCTGAGCTGCAGCTTGGAAAACTCTTGACTTTGCAGGTGATGTGTGGGTAAGTCATGCATATGGCTGGGACCTGACACAGAGGTGCCCAAGGCAGGGTCTGGGCAGCATTTAGATGTTTATCTCTAAACTAAGATCTAAAAAGCCCTGTCCATTCCCACCCAGTCTTGCCATGCTTACAAAGTACCTCGTACCTCACACGTTTTCTCTGCATATGCCTTCTACACTGCCCACAGGATCTATAAGTCTTCCTCTGCTCGGCATCTTTGAGGGCTCCTCCTAATCAGCACGGTGCCAGAGCTCCTATCATCCACCTTCAGGTTTGTGGTCCTCACTAAATTGTTGCCCAGCAAAAGTGCCTTAACCTGCATAAGGCTGAGGGCCTTCCCTTTAGAGGCCTGCAGCCCCTCAGGACTGCTGCTATGGTGGGCTCTCATAGAAGCAGCTGTGTGAGATCCTTCCTTTCCCCCTATTCCTACCCCTTGGTCATAGCTTTCTGTTTATATGAGGGGACAGTGATACACGACTCCTTTGCCCTGGTGATCAGAATACTCTTGAAGGTGGGAGAGAAATAAATTAATCCCTCCAGGCAGAGCTGGGAATTATACCTGAATATCTCACACCTGAAGGAGACCCAGCTCCAGGCTGTTAAATGCAGGCAGACTGTCACCACTCAGCACACCTACCTCTGTCAGCCTGGAGGTGAGGCTCATACTGCTGCCTTGGAGAACCACTGCAAACACCAGTCCTTCAGAAAAATGCTTCTGTCTCTGACTTCCCTAGAGATAAAGATGCCTACTGCAACCCTAAATCTGCTGATGAAGCCAAGAAGAGAATAAGATTTTTTTTACTCATCTCTATGTAGTGCGTGTCCCACTTGCTCAATCTAAGTAGCTCCTTTTTCTGAGTACAAAGACCTTGTTTAAACCTTTTCTGAACCACCCTCATGCACTATATGGGTAGCCAATTCCTGATCAGGTCTGGAGCCAGGCAAGTTCCCTACTTTGATCGAGCCTGAAACTGGTCTTTTACTGTTTTACAACAGGGAAAAACCAGAAATATTTCCCAAATTAAGACAGACATTCTTGTGACTGCTTTTTGTTAATCAAAAACTGGGCTAATACAGTGTTAAAGTAAGGGGCTCATTAAAGCTGAATACAGAACAGTGAAAATAGAGATGGAGAGTCTGTTATGATTTACTCATCAAATACTGAAAATATGAACGAGAGGGATGGCATATAGTTATTTATTATGTAGAGAATAAAAAGCTGCATCAAAAAGAGTTTAGAGGGTCAGTTTCTATTTTTACAGGTTAAAAAAAATCAACCTACCTAAAGTTTCTGGAATTGGGTTATGTATTTTCTGTCTGATTGTTATTATTTTTCCATAAGAGCCAATGTGGTCCAAGCTGGGTACTTCTGAACATTATCATGCAAAGAGGAAGGACAGGGACAACTTCCCCACTTAAACCACTTTTATTGGCATAATTGCAAGACAACAATAAACTGCTCACCGCTTCCTACACCTCTTCACCTCATGGCAGCTTCTGTCTGCAACTTCTTACTTTCAGCTCATTACCAGAAAACAATTTTATTGTCACATTAGGCTGGCAGCTGGAATTCTCCAAATGAGGTAAGCAGGGCTGAGGTGCATGCTGTCATCCCTCAGCAAGAACTTGTAACATACAGTGATGTTACATCTCCAAGCTTTACCTGAAAACAGGCATCTGGCCTGGGTTTATTTGTAACACTGTAGCTGATAGATTAATATGAAAAGACAGATGAAAGCAGACACTTTAATTACTTCACCCTAACTTTTTATTACAACATCAAGTAAAATGGTGTGTTACAGAGGATAATGGGTGTGAAGCATCTGGGATGAAGTCACACACAAGCTCATGGCTTGTTATCTGCCAATGGGTTTTTTTTAAATATTGATAACTTCTGTACATGCATCTTTATTTCTGATTTTCTTGATAAATCATTTCAGGATTACTTTGATTTAAGCTGTGAGGTAGCTACTAAGACTGGGACCCCGCTTTTTTCTTCTGGAATTTTCTGAACTGGGACTGTATCGCCACAGCCGCCCGCTCTGTCTCTGGCGCATCCATGTCTATGTCAAATTCCTCTTGAACCTTCTTCTGCCCATCTGCTCGAAGAAAACAAAATAAAACATCAATAATAGTTTTTTCAAACAGCTATAATCACTGGACAGCACTGGTAAAAAATCTTCCCCTCTTCCCTTCACAGACACAACTGTAATGATGGGGAGCATCTTCAGAAAAAAAAACTGGGACCAGTTTCAGCAAACACAGTTGATCAAATCTCCCACCCCTTCCCAACAGCAGTCTGTGGCGGCCTGTTGGTAGCTAGGCACTGAGGAGCGACATCCAAATGGTGCTCGGCAGTCACCAAGCATCACCCTGATGTTTGAGCAAGTCCCCTCCTGCCCCAAGGAGTTAAAAATGCAGGGCAGAGGGACCCTCCTGTGACACCCTGTAGCTATAAATTATTCAGTCACCATGTTTACTATAAAACAAAGGCACCTTAAAATGTTTTAAATTAGGGATTAAGACCCTGTTTTTATCAGGGTTTTAATCAGGATCCTGCATTAGAGGAAGAGGTAATACTTCCTAAGGCAAATTTCCAACCTTTTCACTTGTTTCCTACCTCATCTCTTTTAGCATGTACTGCTCTTCCCCTTTGAATCATTTATGCTCAATCTTTCTGCCACTGTGCTGCTTCTCTCATTCACTCTCTGTGCTGTTATTGCCTTTCAGCCTTAATCCTTGGCTCTTTGCCTTTCTTTATTCCCAGTCCTCAGCTTTTTGTTCAACTGCATTCAGCCTCCACGTGGACAACCCAGCTGACTTTGCTGAATTTTGCTTCATCCATCTACATGTTAAAAGTGCAGCCCTGAGAAAACTCCTGCCATCTTTGCAAAAATAACCCTAATCTGCCTGGACTAACAACGTGAGAACACACATTCACTCCGCTGACCTCGTCCTAACACTGTTTCTCCTCTCAAACTTGTTTGTTAAACTCACTTACATAATTGTGTCCCAGTCCTGCAGTGAATGTCATGCCAGCTGTCTGCAGCTCTACTTAAAACAGCTATGAGAATTCACCCATTTTAAACCACTTTGGTTTGTATTCTTGAGGTTAATACCTCTGGGATGCTCATCTCCAAGTACTGTTCATGCACTTCAAGGGAAAGACTTTCAATGGAGTATTAAAATGAAAAGAAACTCATTCCCCACTCTGTCTTTCCTTCCCACTAGAAACAGGGACACCATTTCATTATTTTAGCATGAGTCTTCATATTTCTTGCCTTTACTTCTTGTTCTTATTCACAACTCAAGCTTTCTGTCCATTTTCTATGACCAAAATCCACTCTAAACTGAGCAAATATTTAAAGGGAAGGTTTTGACATATTCCACGCTGATTTTAACTAAAACAACCAAATAAATGCAGCTATGTTAACATAAAAGAAATGTTCGCTTCATATTTTGTTTTGCTTAGAAGAACATTTAAGAAGATGAAAATGTAAGAAGAAAGAGAATGTCTGGAGGGGAAGAATAGCTTGAGAGCTTACCAAAACTTTGATTATACAGTTCTAATGAAAATTTAGGTTGTCAAAAAGTAAATTTATGGAAGAAAATGAATCATACCAACATTACATCACACTTCCACAGCCATTAAATCTGCAAGAATCTGCACAGTTTGTGTAACTATAGAAGCAACGCAACCACCTTAAGTTCAGAAATACAATTATTGCCTTATTTTTCATGGGGAAGGGGGGGTGAAGGTTGGAAATTATTTCCTTATGCTCACAAGTTGTTGACACAGCCAAGGAGACAACTGAAGTCTCCCATTAAAGCCATGTTATATTCTGAAATTTAGAGTGGCTTGTTAAAGAAACAGACATTTCGGTACCAGTTCCTAAACTATAGTAACTATAACACAACAACACTTTGTGAAAATTTTCCTATTGCCAGATACCATTTTCTCCACATTTCTGTGTACACAGCAGAGAAATGGACATTATTTTTTTAAATCAAATTTCAAAAGGAATTATTATCTTCACAATGACTTACTACATTTTGTTGTTATTTAGAGGGGTTGGGTTTGATTTGGTATTTATAGGTTAAAGGGAACTAAGACAAGAATTTACAACATTTTATATGGAAACAAACCAAAAAAGGATTTTAAATCATCCTGTAAAAACCTAAGAATTTTCAAACAGAACATGTAAATATGGACTTTTCATTTGAAATTTTTGAGAGCCTGATCAGCTAGCTAGCTCTAGCAGCAACCACTCTGTGGTATCGGTAATAGGAAAATAAAAATTGGTTAACTTGTCCCTGTGTCAGAATCTCTCCTCTATTAATACGGTCCTATTAACTTATTCTAAAGAGTATCACTTACGGAGAAATACTCTTATTTCTCATGGAGAAATATTTTATCAAAATGTTTATACTTGTAATAAGCATTTAATCAGTTTTGACATTGATGAGACTAATGTCTTCTCACTGCTTGACGATTTTCATTTCTGTTGTAGCATTCTGAGTTTTAGGATCCTCCCTAGCCACTCACTAGATACAACTGTCAGTATTGGCAGTAGAAAACAAAAATTGAGTTTATGCATCAATTTTAGCTTTTCAGTATATAAATTACTCTCCCTTCTAAGTGTCAATAGGGAAAGCCAGATGGATGGATGAGTAGACACAACTGGTTTCATACCTCTTGATGAACTCTGGCTTGTGCAACTCATTTCCTATTACAACCAAGTCTTAGCAGTATTTAACCTGCAGTAGTGACTCAGCAATCTTACATTAAGATTAATAGACTTAAGAAAAGAAAGCATTTAATATAATTTTTCTCTAGAATTTCCAAGCCAGTTAATCTTTACTTGATATGAAATCATCACTGCCTTAAAATCAATTGTACTACAATAATTTACCACACATGAAGATCTACAATAATTTACCATATCTTAAAATCTACCTGACTTCCTTTTATTTATTGACCCATTCTCATTGAAAACAAAACCAACATTCTTTATGAACGCTTTCTCTATTTCACTTTTTTCCCATGCCTAAGGAGAAATGGTAGGATGAAAAGTTTTCAGCCATGACTTGAACTTGTAGATTAAGAAATTTTAAGTGTTCAAAAGGGCCAAGACATTTAATGGGCAATGAAATTAATTGTTAGCTTACAAATGGTATAGAAATATTTATATGCTGATTACACAAATATACATAATAAAACAACATGTATATCATCTATAGAAAATGTTTGACATACCTGTGTTTTCTTTCTCCTTTTCTCTTTCTATATACATGTATGGTATATCCACATTTGAATATATAGTGAATATATATAGAAATACACAGGCATATTTGCTTAATGAGTTTTAAGTCCTGTTTAAACTAAAAAGAGCTGGATGGGGTATTTCCTAAACTTTGGGAATGGATTTTCTTGGAGTTCTCCCCAAAACATTTTCTATTGATGACTGTCACAACACAGATACTTTAACAGATGGATTGTCAATCTGGAGAGAGAATTAAGTGGTGTGCCTTCCCTGGCTTTTTCTATGCTAAGGGAAAAAGAGTTTAGCTTTTACCTTGAATTGCTTTACTAAAAGTTGCCTCATGATTTAAAATACATAACACCCCACTAACCACACAGGTTTTGTTTCACTGGTTAGTTAGGAGTAAAGAGCATGAGTTCTAACACCACCACCACCACCCATGGCAGGGGAGTTGGAACTAGGTGATCTTTACAGTTCCTTCCAACTCAAACCATTCTACGATTCTGTGAATTAACAACTGACCCACTTAATTACAGTGAAGACCCAGCCTGGGCTCGGGATCTGCACAGACTAGAGATGACCTCACTGCACCAAGATGAGTGACTAAAAGCGTTTCTGCACCCTTCCTACTATGTATGCAACTATGCCACGCTAGCTTTTACCTGTCAGTAGTTGTTGCTATATCTCAAACATGAAGGATATTAAGTTTGAACGCTCAAATCATGAAATTTATGCAGAGAACTGAAAGCAAGCCCATAGAAACGTCCCTCTTTCTTTCACTGTCTCCCACTCCTAGCTTTCCCTTCACAAGGGATCACTAGCTTGGAAGTGGTCTGAAAACCCAGGGAGTTTTCACTCTCAGCAGGCCAGAGCATAGACAAGCACTTGCAGTTTTACTCTCGAACTTGCTTTTTTCATTCCTACCAGTGGGGGCCAACCATTCTGTCTGATAGCAGGCCACCCTTTTCTAAGCCATCTTTATGTAGCAATAAAGGTAGATCTGGATTCCCTCCCCAGCCTTTCACACACACACACACACACACACACACACACATATACTTTTGTCAATATGTACACTTTCCAGACTATGAGCCGATTTCTTCCACATGGATATCTGAGGATCCCTGGACTACCACAGGTACAGATGGAGGAAACTAGGAGGAACAAGACTGTTGTCAGTACACTTCAATTCACAAGCTACTTGTGATTTTGAGGGATTCAGAAATCAAAAAGGGTTGATAAGCGCTGGCCTGCATTTTCTGCGGGGATTTAGTTTCATTACCACCATAAAAAATAAACCCCCTAACCTCTCTCACTCAGTTATTTCAAGGCTTTCCCTGTAAGATTTCTTCATACTTAGTCCAAATTCCCTTTCCTAGATAATGATTCTCACTCTTCTGAACACGCCATGACAAGCCGGAGGAGTCAGTACATGTCTGTGCTGGGTTCTGGTCACCACCTACACTGATGGGTTGGCCATAGCAGTTTAGTATCTGATGAGTTTTTCAAAATCATGTGTTTAATGTGGACTGATTCTGGCCATATGTCAATTCAGGCAAATCTGACTTGTGGTGGAACAAACTCATTGGAGCACATCAACTGCTGATCAACCAGTCTGGTGCTACAGACTACTTCTGCAGGACTAAAGACCGAGACAACTTGCAGGGTGCAGATTTTACTTCAGAATATACAATAGTCATCCCAGCAGGAGAGCCTGAAACAACATCTAATTAGCTGTTTCCAAATCTAATATGCTGAAAGCTCATTTCACATCGTTGCAATTGAAAAAGATCTATTTATTCCATTTCCAGATGAAACATTAGAATGCTGTCTCC